TGTAAACAGTGCTGGAAGGTACTCCCATCCGCAGACCACACAACAAACTGGAAGCTAGATTGACAGAAACCATATTCGTCCTGGACAAACTGAACTGGACTGAACAAACGGGAAACCAAACCTGTTGCATCCGTTGTTTTCGTATGCGATGAAATGTACAAAAAAATATGGATAAAAGTTTAAGAAGCCGAATAAAATTACATGTTTGGTGCGTGATTACTGAAATAATTCTCGGAAACAATTTGATGATGGAAGGACAAACAATAACAGTTAAATAAATGTATCACCAAACTTTACCTAATAATCGATGGACGTTAATAAATAAGAAACTCTTCACAGCAGCATCTAACGACAAATCAGCATAAGATTAGAGTCAATCAAATTTTGACTCCCCGGGATAAAGTTTGACTCCAAACTACAGGCGCTCTGATTAATTCAAGAGTGAAACTGAGTTGCCAGACCAAAAACAAATACGACGAATGCATTTGAAACGTAAAATAATGTTTATTACAAATACTGCTCATAAGTAACTCTTCATCAGTCTCGCCGCTCGATGAAGTGCAAAAATGGGGCGTCGCATTGTGTCAACAAGTGCCACACCAAGTGTTTCGACGGCATCGGAAGTATGCGGCCCACGGAGTTGTAAGAAAGAAGTTAAAACGGGGATATTTTGCTCACACTGCCGAAAACACTTCCACCTTTTATGTGCCAAACCTTTGGTAAAACAGGCAAAACAGTTAGCCACTCAGCCAGAACGTAAATGGTTCTGTACAGAATGTGCGGAAATCCCGATTGTAAAATGCATCACTTGTATCACACACAAGCACGAGGAGCTATTGCCAAGAACCGAAGTAAGAGCGAATTCAAAATTCGCCACATTCGAGGCGAAAATAGCGAACTTAATTTCACGGATCACACCAGCTAGCCTGATCCGGAAACCCAGCAAACGACCAAATTGCCCCACACAAGTGGTCAACCCACGGCAAGGGACGCACAAGGCTGAACTGAGCGTAACGACGAAAGCAACAGTAGAAGCACCTGCTACCTCGGAAGCCACACACACCCACTGGCCTCCCTCATCTGCTTCTTCAAAGATAAACAGCTCTGCCTGCCAGCTCTAAACTGCCCAAAGACTCTCTAACCCCTATAACGCCGGCCACTGTTGTGAAAGTGGCCCCTTCGTATGCAGATATCATTTCCGCTAGACTTAGAAAAGCAGCGGCTGCAGGTGCACCGCAGCAGAATCACCCGAAAAAAGGGTAGAAATATCGTCTGCTGCCTCGCCATCACGGACAGAGTCGGCTCCCTCGTCCACTGCATCCAGGCACGGTGCGTATAACATGTCACGGACAGTTGAGAGGTGCCCCGCGATTCGCAGGAACCTATGCAGCGGAGGAAGATCCCTCCGAGATCTCAGTGCCTTATTGTTATCAATCTTCCGGAGGCCGAGGCCACCACTTCCCAGGCTCGCCTGGACCACGACCTGCAGCTGCTGGGGCTGCACATGGTTACCTTGTTTGATAGCGACGAGGTGGAACCAACGGCGTTGATCAGAGTAAAAGTGGTATTCTGGCTTGAGAAACCCCGCCAGGATAATTCTCCATGACAACTGAAAGTGATTTTTCGAGCACAAAGCGAGGCCAAGCGATACTTCAGCGAATCCACAAGCTGAAGGAAACTCGGTGCGATTCCTTAGGGATCTTGATCGGGACCAGCGCAGTAAATTGAAAACTGCATTACAAGAACTCAGGAAGGGCCGTGCAAAAGGGGAAACTGATTTGTGTATACGGGATTTTCGTGTGCATCGGAAGCGCCCTCAACTGTGTTGGCTGCCCTTGGTCGGGAGAAGGAACCAGGAGACTGTTTAACCACGAACGGGTGGATTAGTTTGAGGCGCGAATGGCGAGGTCCCCACTCTGTGCTAGCCTCAACCAATACCCAAGGGACGCTGGGAAAAATGGATGGGCTGGAGGACTGGGTTGTATCCCACGATCCTGATCTTTTTGCAATCACCGAGACCTGGCTGACGCCAGCTGTCCGGGACTCCAAAATATCACTCCACGGGTACACAGTATTTAGACCGGATTGATCATCGTCACGTTGCGGTGGTGGAGTATTTCTTTTTGTCGGCTGGAGAATTACGCCCATATGGAAAGATTTGGAGAAGCCCTGTGGTGCAGAATCAAGCTTTGTGCTGGAGGGTATACCAAGGTTGGAGTGATTTACCGCACATCAGCGGTGTATGTCCCAGAACTTATGGTCAACATACAGAGGTACGCCTGCGATGGACATTGTCTTGTCTTGGGTGATTTAAACGCGCCCCATGTTGATTGGGAAACTGACATCTGCTCTCAGCAGGCAGGTTTGTTCTCCAAAAACTTCTTTTCGCTGTCCGAACCCTCTCGCTTGTTCAGAATGTTTATATTCCCACGCGGATAGTTGGGAATCAAAGATCCATCATTGACCCGGTAGTTTTGCCGAGGCAATCAGATACGACTAGGATTGACCTCCTTCCACCAATAACATCTAGTGATCACTCCGTTCTGCGTATACACTGAAGGCGTGGCGTACCCTATACTAACAGACCACAAGACGGACGGAATGTGTAGCGCTCATCCTTTCCGGAAATGCGTCTGGCTGCATTGCTCATAAATTGGAATTCCCGAAACCCTGAGGATGTGGATGTATCCTGGGAGTTGGTTCGTCATAGAATCCAGCAACTCGTATTGGAATTCTCTTCACCTCACCGCCACCGAACACACACTATGGGCCCGCCGTGGTTTGATCGAGAACTGCTGTGTGCCTCCAGCAGTGGAATAAAGCCTGGTCCAGGTACCGTGCAACAGGAGCAGAATATGAGAAATATCGATGTACTCGGAATCACTGTACTGCACTAAAAAAATGTAAGAGAACCAGATTCGACGAACGACTAGCAGCGGATTCAGTACAAGCACCAACGCGATTGTTTGCCTTCCTCAAGCGAAGAATCAGGGCAACGCCTAGTCTTTTGACTCTTGTCAAAGACGGAGCACTAGCCGAAAAAGAGGAGGACAAAGCAGAGATGCTGGCATCACATTATGCCTCAGTGTACACTTCAGATGCCAGCAAACTGGCACATCTACTGGACACTGACAATGCGCTGAACTGGACCCTATTTACAATCGGAGAGGTGGTCCTGGAGCTGCGTCGACCAAAGGTTCACCAGTCACCTGGACCTGAGGGTGTTCATCCGTTAATCCTGAAGGAGCTGACAGATGAACTTGCAGCGCCACTGTGCAACCTGTTCAATTTGTCATTCACTCAAGGGCGTTTACCGCGGCAGTGGAAGTACGCTGTCATTGTTCCACTGCCCAAAGTTGGGGATAGGAGTAACCCTGGGAACTACCGACCAGTCAGCCTTATTAACGTTGTGGGTAAAGTAATGGAGTGACTGGTGGCTGCACGGCTTCGACAGCATTTGGTGTGCCACGGTCACCTGTGCCAACAACAACACGGTTTCCGGCCAGGTCGCTCATGCCTCTCAAACCTGCTACTTGAACGTGAATGCTGAACCGAGGACAAGGCCAAAGAACACGAAACGGACATCATTCTCGTGGACTTCAGCAAGGCCTTCGACAAGGTGCCGCACGACCTCCTTCTGCGAAAGCTGTTCAACCTAGGTACAGGTGTGGTCATGCGGAACTGGCTGCGAGACTTCCTCATCGATCGGAAATTCTGCGTCCGTGTTGGCAAATCGCTCTCTGCGTCGTATTCCACTCCCAGTGAGGTACCCCAATGCTCGGTTCTTGGTCCATTGCTCTTTGTGGTATATGTGAACTACCTGTCCGGTCAACTGTGCAGCCCATCCCTGATGTATGCGGATGACATCAAAATCTGGCGTACAAACGGGGATCCGAATGTTCGAAGTTTTCTTCAAGCGGATTTGAACAACCTGGCTCAGTCGGCGGATACCTAGGATCTTCCAGTCAACACAGCAAAGTGTGCTCACCTGCACTTGGGGCGTGCTGCCTCAGGGGTAGACGCTTTCAGGCTGCTTTACGCTTTCATGTCAGACCAAGACTTGAGTATGGTGGTGCGGCGACATACTCCTGCACGGCCAGTGAACTGGCTAAGTTTGAGCGTGTACAATGTGCTGCCACTAGACTCGTTGTTGGACCATGCGGGACTACAGGTCGTCTACAGACTACTGGTCTGTTCCCAATTGCGTATCGACGCCTCAGGGGAGATCTCATCTGCCCGAGGAAGATCCTGAGAGATGATATGGGCCCGGAGCTGCAACAGTACATCCCTTTACGGACAGAGCACCGCACGCGGGGGCACTCTCTCACGTTGCGGAAACTTCAGTCAGTTGGTCTTTCTTTAGACTACCAACTCTCGCGTAGGTCAACAACACTGGAATTCCCTCTTAGGGATTGCGCTGGAAGAGAAAACAGACGCTGCTTTCAAACGGCGTCTGGATGAGCACCTGAAGGTGCTATGGAGGAACGAATACTTTTGATCGGACCTCGGCCCAGTGGTGATGGGGCTTACACGGGCACCCTACACTCTGCCTCAATCCTGAAGACTGAAGCCGATCAATGAGCAGCGCCATGCTGCCTGGGCTCATAAATATAATAACGTTGGTCACTATATTTTTCTTGAAATATATTATTGGGTCGCTCTGGGTTAACTCCACATCTGCTCCTTCTTCTCATCTTGAAATAAGTTATGGATCTTTGCAATCAGGGCGGGCTTTGTTGTGTAATCGTACGGATTTTCTGGGTACCCCTGTAATACTTTCAACAGTTGTAGAGGAATGGAATTCACTGAAAGACTCTGAGGTAACAGAATTAGCAGGTTCACAACTAGCATCAGAATTGGGCAAATTGTAGGCGCTGCTTATCGGTACCCCGAGATATTACGCCTATATCGCAAACCAGCGTTCGTACGAAAAGCAGAACGAGACATTCACGAAACGGAAGTCGGTTGTATTGTGATAACCTGCAGTGCAAAAAGGGATATGTGAAAGCGTGAACAAGCGTGCGCAAAGTGAAAGCAAACACGCGCTGACCAAAGAGGTGACCTGGGTGTGGTAAAACAATGAGATACAAAAGTGGAATGGTACATTTAGATTGGGAGTCGATTAGTATCACTACAAAATCACAATATGCTTGATCTGTTTGTCTACCATGTACAGTATCATTGTCTAGATCCAATATTCGACATACTCTCTGTCCTATGTGGTCCAGTACAATGCCTCTGGAGGGTCGTAAATCGTTACCGCGATGATACACAACTTCCGCAGACTCCGAGTGTAGAAGATTTATTCAGAGTATTCGACTCTTGATCGGCTTTGCTGAGCTGTGCTCCGTAGTTGAATTTATTGCGTTACGGTATTGCATCAGAAAGATTTCGATGTTTCTGTCGAGTTCATTCAATATACTGAGATTCGCGGAAGTTATGGCACTCTTCAGTGTGCACATAAAGTTTTCGGCTGCGTCATTGAATTGTGTATGTCGGGGAGGAGTGAGAACATGCAGACAACTCACAGGGTTCAACCAATCGGTAACTTTCTTGGCGGTAAAACGACTTCCATTGTCAGTTACGATAGCATGCGGGACACCTTCTCTACTGAACGTTTTCCTGAATAGCGAATGGTAATTTCTTCACTGGATGATGTAGTAAAGTATACTTCCAGCCAAAGGAAAAGAGAATCGATAATCGCCAATGCGTAATACTGGTTGAAGAGTGGACCACAGCAATCCACATGTATTCTATGCCATGACTTGGAAGTACTAGCTACGGAGTCCATTTCGAACTTTGTGCATACAATCAGCACAGGATTTTGCAACACAATTCAGATCATGATTCAATCCAGGCCACCAACATGTAAGATGAGCAAGGGACTACATATTTTCAATGCCAGGATGACGGACGTGCAAGTCATTCAAAACGGCAATACTTAATGTACGATGTGCAAAAATGCGATCATTGCAACACCATCGCACGTCACAGAAATGTCCTCACGACGTTTATAGAATTCCGGAACTCGACGTTTGATATCGCCTCGCCAAACTCGGCGGACACACGGAATGATAGCGTGATAATACTTCCTGGTCGCGCGAAATAGATCAGATCGGCTTACCTGGAGTGGTTGAGTTAGTAGACAATCACCTGTAGAAGCCTCCTCTTAAATGGCATAGCGTGATAGACAGTTTGCATATGGAATGGACTGCGCGTTGTGATGATGAATTTCGTAGGAATAGGCAGACAACGCAATACTCCATCGTTGTACTGTGGCTGCAGATGACTTAGCCAGGGAACGTTGAGGGTTGTAAATGAAATGCAGCACTTCATGTTCACTCACAATAGTGAAATGAGTACCATAAAGATACTTGTACGTGCGCGTGACAGCCCAATAGACAGCTAGAGCCTCTCGTTGAGTTTGTGAATACCCACGTTCAGCAACCGTGAGTCTGTGTGAGATGTTGTACTTTGTGAACAGTATTCGAAATGGAGTCTCGGAATTCGCGCAGTACCGATCCCCGGAATAGAACAACTTTGAATTGAATAGCACATGTACTTTATTCGAATAGTACACTATGCATATTCAACGCATTTAAAGTATGCAATGAATTTGTCGAGGTCAATGTCATACATCACTATCGCCGCACCTCGAATAACCCCAAGGTTTCTGTAATCCACTCATGGCTTCGCACTTCAATCGTTCAGACCTTCGTGGGGCTCACTCATTCACAGATTATTCTTCCGTAACAGTTTGCTTTTCGACGTTCTGTTCATCAGTCGTATCGAGTTTCTCAGTATCTAATAGATTGTTAGCAGACTCGGAATTTTGACCATGAAGTGGAACAGACTGACTTTGAGTGTCAAAGCAAATTTGATCCACAAATCTTCTGTGTATGAACAAATCATCCTTGTTGAGCAGCTGAAGCATTATCCGACCTATGGACTTCAAAAATTCTTCAAGAGGGTCTCAGGTCAGAAGAATGAATACACAATAAATTGGATCTCAAAATTAGAACTTTGGATAGTTTGGCGGGTGTTTCTTTAGTGAAAGAATGAACAAACTTACGATACTGTAAAAGAAGCAGATCAACACCTCTCTCAAGTTCAGAAAATGTGGATGGGTTCAAAGCAGTAATAGCACTCTTAAGTGTTCTAACAAAATTCTCTGTTGGTCCATTAGAGTGGTGTCTGGGAGCGGTAACCAAATGTTATACAGCCATTCTGAACCACTTTCGCGGAAAAGTGACTGCCAAGATTCGTAACAAGTAAAACAGGAATACTGTGATGTGTTGACAAAATATTGAAAATCGGTTCTCGTAGCTCGGGTGAACTGAATTCCATTTCGCCTGTTCGCCGAGCTTGGCAGTTTGTTTGCTTCATGTCATAAATCTGGAAAAACCGGCCATATTCAGTCTGTGTCGCAGTACCAAAACTTGTCGCTTAATTCAATCCAAGGACTCAGAAGTGAGTGGCATAGAAAAATATCTTTCTTCTTTATCTTTGGCAATTACTTCCCATTCCGGTTAAATTCGTAAACAACTATTCAGTTCTACTGGTAACTCACTTCATTTTATTTTGGACAACGGTAGTGTGGAATCTCTAATTTCTGTTCATGATTTAAAACAGTTTGCTACAGATGCTAAACAAATGTTGGAAATAGTACAGAAGTACCTAGAAGATCCGTACGATTATATAACATACCTTTTGCGTTCCAACTTTCCGCTCATTATAGTTCGATTCCGTTGTTGAGTGCTGAGTGTTCGGATTTCATTTCGAGTTCTAGTTCTGGATTCACCTATTACTGCGCGGATTTCAATACGCATACGAATTACTAGTACAATAGCAACCTATAACAAGGGTTCATGAAATTCAATCTAATTATAGAAATATCGGAGTCGATAACGAAAAATTTAAAAGTGAAATGTTTGTGATTGGTCGTCTTGAAGTAATGTCGTTGCGATGAGAAGAAGGAGCAGATGTGGAGTTAACCCAGAGCGACCCCATAAGATATTTTAGGGAAACTATAGTAGCCGTAGCTACTATATTTATTGCTCTAGCCGATGTGTTTATAGTGCAAGAACGGAGCGAATCCGATCGGATGCATTCTAACTTGAGGTTTCAGTTCAACGTAATCTAGCTGATGTGACCAGGATAATATCTGCAGTTGTCTTCACCAGTGCCCCAAAAGCTTGCCACCAGTGAAAAGCGGAGGGCGTTATTTGCATCTGATTGTGCGCACTTGTATGAAGTTGGAATCGCAACTACATATGTTGCTCAGAGCTTTTCATCACTAGATATCCTAACACAGAATTACGATGGCATGCCAACTCCTGAGTACAAATTCTAAATCAAAATATGAATCATTGGTTTGTTCTCATGGTGATTAATAGCTTCCAACCGTGTGGCGATGACAAGCTCATTGGCTACACCAAGAACATTGTAAATAGATTAGTAGCGGTAACCTGAAACGGTTCGACCTTTTGTGGTCACGGATCATACGGAATCATCCTTCATTTGCATCATAGCAAATGTCTTGTCTTTCGGTTCTCGAGAACGACATATTGTCTATACAGAATAAACCAAAAAAGTGTTAAACTGATCATCATCATCAGGACAATCCGAGAAATGTCAATAAATGGCCGAGAAGCGAAAAAATGTAATAATTTTATTTGGAATCGGTTTTCCCCTAATTACCCTAGTGTTAGAGCCGCCAAAACAGGACTAATGTATTCAAGGATAGTCACAACATGCATGGGGTCAAATTCCGTGTTGAGGCAACCGTTCTCAGCAGAATAAACACGTAAGATAGGCATTGCCACTTCAACAATAGGCTGGCGAAAATTGAGCATAATCACTGAACTTTGAGAAAACCTATCAAACATGAAAAAACGTGAAACATTCAAAGATTCAAAGATTCAAAGATTTATTATGGGAATAGCTTACAAGC